TTATTACCCCCGAAAACTTTATTGATTATCGCATACCGAGCGAGTAAAACGCGTTCGGGGCCCAATCGGGTTAATCGTTTATTCAACTGCACAAAAACTGAAATAAGTTTCAAAGTTTCGGCTCTATTTGGATGATGAAAGTGCGAATTTCCATTGGGTTTAAGGTGACGGCGAATTCGCCCAATTCCTCGGCAACAGGGCGAGAATTCAACCCGTCAGACTGATAAAGAGACTTGAAGATCATCCTTTCATTGTCCTCCAGCCACTGGTTGCCACCAAGCGTCGTTTCCCTCAAACTCTTAATGGTGAAAGTCGCAAACAGGTTCTGGAAATTCAAGCATCTAAATGATTTTTTTCATCTTTTAGCTGAAGTTTACCTGGAGTTCTACAGTGGTGGGTTGGGAAAGAACGGGATCTTCATCGACTTCAAAAATGTGTTCCACTCTTAGCAGGTAACTGGCTTCGGACCAAGGCTCCAAAGTGAGAATCTGCACGTTGGCTGGCAGGGAGTTTGTGAGTCCAGAGAACTGAAATTTCAAGATTTTAATTATCGCAAATGTTCCTGGTTGCTGTTATCCTGCCTCCATTAGATGGGAAGTTTTGTATTCTTCAAAGGTGTCCTCCAGGGGCAGGGAGAGGAAAATCCATGAGTCCAAGAGCTTCTGGCTGGCAATTTCATGTTCAATGCTTGCAATGGTTTCCTCTAGAATTCGAAAAATTGTTGATGAGGTTTTTGCCTCATAATCACTTGCCTGAGTCTGCGGGGTTCCTCATATGGCCGGCCACTACATAGTGAGAGCCTTTTGCGACGATTGGACGCCCGTATTGCAGCTCTATCAACGCCTCATTGACGCCAAGCAGGTCGTCCGTGATGGTGTTTCTTAGCAGCTAAGGAAAATTTGATTTTCTCTTGTTGGGAAAATTGCTTTCCTTCACCCACCATGAGCTCAACAGCTCCATCTTCCAAGCTGGCGCCGCCCTCTGCTCTATCAGTTAGAACTGCAAATTCCACATCGTCTTCCTCATCTCTGATTATGATTCTGGAGGTGACGGGGTAGTAGTTGGCGCTTTCAGTTTCATTCACAGTGACGTCCCAAGTGGGGCGGTAGTTTCTCACTCTCTCCACCATCTCCCGTCCATTGGAGTCAGTGAAGAACTTAGAG